CACACACACCCTGGGATGCTGCAGCCGTCATACACATGAACCAGTTGTCGACCCTGTGAATGTAAATCATGTGACCATGGGGAGTCTACAGTGGTCTTGTGACGAAATGGTCATAAGTTGCTGTTTTCAGTGCTGTTTTCAGTTGTAACTTGGACAGGTCACTGAAAAAATGTGGGTTTAAGTTGAGAAATACCTGCACTAAGTAAGTGCAGCTTGCCAACAGCAATGACAAATGGGCCAAATACAACTTTTAATCTGCATAGCTTTAATTGTATATAATTATATAACTTATATATATATATATAAGTTTATTTAACATTTTGACAATTAAAAACAAATTTCCACACTTTGCAACATTACTACAGCAGTGTTTACATTTGTAAGTATCTTCTATTAACATGTTATGCATCTCTGTGTTTGCTTCTTCATCATTCTAGCCATTTTATACATATATCCTTTTGTATTTACCTTTATTTACACATAAACCTTATTGTTTTATGGTATTACATACAATATCATTTGACGCCTTTGCGTCTTTTTCTTATCCATTCATACCAGACGTCCCGTATTTTATAGTATTCTCCTTATCTTTCAATAACTTCATCCATCTATCCATCTCTGCGCATTCCTATACCTTATTAATTATTGTGGCTTCGGGGAAAAGGGGGTGGTTCATAGCCTGCTTCCAATTTTGGACAAAGGAGATTCTGGCAGCCGTTATGACATGGCACATCAAATATTGGTGTTATTATACCAATTATATTATTTTTCTATTTGTCTTTTACATTCAAGCAGCCCAGAGTTGCCCTTTAGAGGAGGTGGGTGGCATAAAAATGTAATAAATAAATTGCCTGTCCAGATGCATCCTGGTCAGCTGCAACTTTCTACTTATTTTCAAGGGCAGCCCCATTTTGTATATTACTATGCAATCATGTCCATAGAGATTTCCAATTATCCAGGCCATGGTTGTCCCAAAGATGCTTTTTCAAAAAGCAACTGGACTTTTTTGGTGTTTCCCGAAGAGCTAAACTGAAGAAGCCTCTTGGGTGAGAAGCAAAACATCTTCAAGAAAAAGCAGAGAAAGTCCATTTGCCTTTAGAAAAAGCATCTTTGGAACATTATACAATTATATTACCAATATAAAGGTATTAGACTCCTGGAGCTCCTTTTAAAAGATGATTGGGGTAAAATTTAACAGCAGCAGCAGAGATGTCCACTGTGTATAGATGTCCATGATTGTATAGGTAGACCCAAAATTTGGGTTGTTAGGTGAGACATTTGTTAAGTGAGCTTTGCCCCGTTTTACGACGTTTCTTGCCGAACGGTGACCACATGACCTTTGGATACAGCAACAGTCATAAGTATGAGTTAGTTGTCAAACATGTGAATTTTGATTGCATGATCATGGGGCTGCTGCAGAGGTAAGCGTGAGAAATGGTCATAAGTCACTTTTTTCAGTGCCATCATAACTTGAATGGTCACTAAATGAACTGCGGTAAGTCAAGGACTACCTGTACCTTCCTAAGTTTTTTTTAGTCAAACCTCTTTTATCTTCTTTAATTTAAATTCAAACCAAAAATTGCATCATAGGAGAAATCTCCCACGGATTGAAAATTCTTCTGCCTTCTAAGTCGTCGTTAAATTTAGAATTTAAATTTATGGTAAACTTTCTTCGAGTCAGGCCTGGCAGTGTTACACTTAAGATGGGAGCAGCTCCTTATCTCTTCATAGAAGCAAATCGTTTTTCCTTTGTGCTGTGTCTTTTTGAAACACGTCCCTCCATATCCATTTCATAGCCTTTAACCAGGGTAGCACATGGGACAAACAGCTGCATCTAGCAAAGGGGCCTCCAAATTTAGACGTTCGGATTTTCTGCCGCCTGAACCATTAAACTTCAGCAAGAGAAAAGCAAGTAAGTGATTTGCTGTTTGTTTCCTGTAAAGTTTTGGCACTTGGATGGAATTGACTGATTAATTTCAATTTCTTTATACTCTGCAATGTCTCAGCAGGCTGCTTCTGAGACTCTTGAATGGTTTTAATAGACGTGAGAAATGAGGTGAGAGAAACAAAAGCCATCTTTTAATTTTAAAAAAAAAGATGGAATGTAGTTTCTTCTGCTTTTTAAATGTTGATAAATTCAAGTGGGAGGCTTGAGGCCGGTGGAACTCTCCGCCAGCTGATATTCCGCGGCTGTAATTTTGAAGGCTTCTCTTCGTTAATCTAAGCAGGACAACGAAGAGAGTTCTGCTGAATGGACTTTTTATGCAGTGGATTTAGACAATCGAACAGCGGTTTTCTTTCTCTGATATTGTCATTTTTTTTAAAAGGGTAAAAGCAATTACAACTGTATCTGTATTTTGAGGTGGGAATAAGCTGTGAAGCCATCAGGTAGATTAAGTAACTTTTTTTTTAAAAAATGAGAACTTAGGTCGAAATAAACAAGAGCTTTTTGTTGTATCAAATTTTCAAATATAACTAGTTTGGATCAATTTTTAGAGCGACTACCTTTGTTCTGTACCAACAAGAAACATTGTTATATCTTAGTGGGTGATATATTTACTGTGAAGATTAAAGTTCTATTCATCAACTACATAAAACCTTGCCCCAACTGGGTGCATTTATAAAGGAGAAAAACATACTAAGAGGGGTATAAATATTCCCTAGACATTTTCTAGATCATATTAAGTTATATTTCCAAAATGCATTATCCATTTGTCTAGGGGGGAATTGGGGCAAACTTGCATCCTTTAACTCCCTAACTGTTAGTCTGTTGCAGGGTAGTATAAAAACAATTGATCTTTTTTTCTTTTTTTTAAACCACATTCGTAAATATTATTTCATCTTTATTCTGCCGGGGTTCATAATAAAAATAGGATTTCCTGGTCCATTTAGTTCTGCTGTTTAAGTTCACTGAAATTCTAAAGGGTATTTACTGCATGCTATTTTCAGGTAATAGCATATGGCCTAAGTATTCTGCTGTACTATATTGCTTTCGCATTGTATAAATTACTTTTTGTTTAATACAGGTAGTCCTCGACCACAATCGAGCCCAAAATTTCTGTAGTTAAGTGAAACATGTTAAGCGAGTTTTGCCCCGTTTTATGATCTTTCTTGCCACCGTTGTTAAGCGTTTCATTGCAGTTGATAAGTTAGCAACCCCGTCGGGAAGTGAATCTGCCTTCCTGCATTGATTTTGCTTGTCAGAAGGTTTCAAAAGGGGATCACGTGACCCCGGGGACACCCTGCAGCCGTCGTAAATATGAACCAGTTGCCAAGTGTATGAATTTTGATCACACAATCACAGGGATGCTACAAACGTTTTAAGTTGCAAAAATGGTCATAACTCAATTTTCAGCGCTTGTTGTACCAATAGCAGAATGGGTATATAGATGCGGTAAAGGAGAATTCGAAGATATCTCACTTTTTTATTGTACTGCGAGTTAATACAGAGTTTATAGGTCAGTGTATATTCTCCCCTTACTAGAGAGATTGCAATTTTTATGTAGGCTTTCTCCTCCAGGACTCAGACCCACCTATTACGCAGGCGGTGGCAAAATTCTGTGTTGCTGCAATGTCTGCAAGAAAAGAAATTGGTTACAGAATTATAACTGTCAACTTGTGCCAATTTTTTGGGAGATACCTAACAATTTTTGGAAAATGATATTTACTCACATACTTATTGGCTCACATAAACTAGGGAATGACCCTATTTTCCTAACAGGGATGTTATTATCCACTATTAATATATTATAATGTGTCAGTATCATTTTTTAAAAAATATATTGTAGATAGTGATGTCTATTGCTGCTCTATGACTGTAATAAAGTTATATTCATTAATTCAGCACCGTTGTAACTTTGAACCATCAATAAATAAACTGTTGTAAGTCTAGCACTACCTGTATTGACATACATTGAGTGGGCAGTGAGGGATTGTGTGACAATGGGTTTTGTTGGCTGTGAATTTTTACCATGATTACCAACAGGTAATCTTAGATTTATGACCGCGATTGGCATGAGAATTTTGGTCACTAAGCGATGCGATTGTCAAGCGAGTCATCGCATGAACAAACCTGATTTTAGAGCCATTTTTACTGCAGCCATTGGGCAAATTGTGACATCGTTAAATAAACCATGTGGTCATTAAGCAAATCTGGCTTCTCCAACTGAGTTTGCTGGCTGGAAAGGTTGCAAATCCCAACGATGGGAGTGGAAGTTACTGCAACCATTGTAACCCTGAGCCATTTGCCAAGAACCCAAATTGCAATCAAATGATGGCTATAACTTTTGAGGACAAAGTCCTAAGCCTTTTTTTCCCTAGATGTTATAACTTTCAATTTGTTTAAGTCCTGGACTACCTCTAACTTTATAAGTTATTGCATTTACAATCAACTTACTGGCAGGAGATAAGAATCCTACCCATATTTCAAAAAGCCACTGTCCAAAAGATGGGCACATTTTATCATATGTGGTGGACTTGTGCTAAAATGAAACATGGGCAAAGATACACAGGTGGCTAGAAAAGATGACAGGGAATCAGGTAGATTTTAAACCTGAACTGTTTTTTATTAGGTTATAATGTCAGATAAATTAGATAAGAAAAGTATGTCTTTCGTATTACATGTCTTAACAGCAGTGAGAATTATATTAGCACAATATTGGAAAAATGAAGAAGAGACAAAGAGATAATTAAGAAGATACTAGACTGTGCAGAAATAGATAGATGGACATTGAACATTAAGCAGAAAGAAGGCACAGAATCCTATCAAACATGGAATCTGTTTTACCAGTGGTTGGAAAAAAAATGAGGTGGAGATTAAGACTATAATCAGAATTGTTAAGCAAATTAAATACCCAGACGACACTTATTAAGCACTAAATGTAATTAATAAAAAAAAATCAATAAAATTTGGAGAGGAAAAAGCCCCTGTCTTGGTATACAAAGGCTTAAGTTTCCCTGAAACTCTTTTCTTAACCGTTTAGGCGACTGTGAGTAAGAAGATGGCCTCCTGTCTGTACGAATGCCTCTGTGAGGCGGAACTCCAAAAATATTACCCGCATTTTACCGCCCTCGGCTTCCAGAAGATCGACGAACTTGCCAAGGTCTCCATGAAGGATTACAGCAAACTTGGGGTTCATAACATGAAGGACCGGAAGCGCCTCTTCCAGCTCATTCGAATCATCAAGATGCTGCAGGCCGAAGAGGAAGCGGTCAGGAAAAAACAGGAAGTATTCCAGAAAAGTGCCCGCTGCCGCCTGCGACCCCAGCTCACTCGATCTGGCCCACGGAGACAACTCCATTTTGATTCCGAGGGAAAAGACGAACAAAAAGAGTTGGAATCTTTATCTCCCAATTCTTCCAGTGAGGGTAAAGAGGAAGCCGCGGTGGTGTTTGGCCGTGATTCGGTCCACAAAAGACCCGGGAAGGACTGTTTAAAAGCACCTGCAAGCTGGACAGAGGACCCGCTGGTGGTTCCAACTCCAGGTTCATCTAATGATGTTCTAGGAGATGCTGACATTTCCTTTGTGCAGAGAGTAGCTCATATCTCAGGCTACAATTACGGAGTGCCTCACTCCTACACCAGGTAATGATATTTCGTTTGCATTTCTGTTCATGGAGAAAGGGCTAAGGTTGTGATGACCCAAAGGGGCGTGGCACAAAAGCAACAAAGTCACAAAAGTAGGTAAAGTCCCTTTAATTCCTCCAACTTGGCCCCCAATGTCCAGTTATCATCGGCTGGAGAAAAAAAACTCTCCCAGGAACAGTTTTTAAAAGGAAGAAATTCCGTCCGAACCCAAACTCCATATAGATTGTAAATAAAGACCAACACAAACTACGTTGCAGCAATTAACGAGACAGGGCAGGATAATGAATTGCAGAACTCAAAAGATAACAAAACACACACAGTTGGAAGGATGCCAGAACCCAGATAAGACTTGACAAAGATAATTCACGCTTTGCTTCCAGCAAGGCGCTGTGCGCAAACGCCCTTTTTAAATCCTGTTTTCCCTAGCTGCAGCTAATGAAGGGAATCAGGGCCCTTTCCTCCCCCGTAACCCATGTAACTCACCTTGCTCCCTTAACTGTCCTTCCCTGCGTGCCCTAGGATGAAGAAGGGGTGGACCTGGGTCTTCCTCTGAATGCCCAGCCAGATTGTGCCCTTCCCCAGTTTCCTCCCCAGCCTGTTCTGACTAGTTCTGGAGAACCGGTAGTGGCAATTTTGAGTAGTGTGGAATACCATCTCTGACTGGCCCCATCCCCATCGATTCTCTGCCTCCCTTCTTTCGTTGCCCTCGTAGAAGAACGGAGCTGGAAAGCAGGTTAATGGGGTGGGGAGACAAAGCGGGATTTTGCAGTATCCTTCCCCTGCCACGCCCACCAAGCCACACCTACGAAGCCACACCACGCCCACCAAGCCACGCCCACAGAACCTGCAGTAAAAAAAAAATTTGAATCCCACCACTGCTTTAACCCACGTTGCTCCGTTCTCCGCTCCTCCCTGCATGCCCTAGGATGAAGAGGGTGTGGCCCTGGGTCTTCCTCTGAAGGCTCAGCCAGACTGCGCCCTTCCCAGTTTCTTCCACAGCCACCAGAGCCCCACTCCCACTCCCTGTCAGCTGTTCGACCTCCCCCTCGGAATCAGATTCCAACAGGGGCAGGACAAATGTTTTTGTCCTATGCTAGAACATAGAGTAACAGAGTTGGAAAGGACCTGAGAGGTCCTCCAGTCCAACCCCCTCTTCAAGCAGGAGACCCTGCCTCATTTCAGTCCCAAAGGTGCTCTTTTTTTTTTTTTCAACTGGACTTTCTGGGTTTTTTTTCTTTGAAGACGTTTCGCTTCTCACCCCAGAAGCTTCTCCAGCTCTTAACTGGATGGTGGGAAGGGAAGGATTTATACTCCTTGATTTATAGTTATACCTATTTATACTCACAGGTCCTTGACAGGGAAAGGCCCTTGAGTATAAGTATCAGTAGGTATCAGTATAAGTCAAGGCGTATAAACCCTTCCATTCCCCACCATCCAGTCAGAACTGAAGAAGCTTCTTGGATGCAAAACGTCTTCGGAGAATATCAAGAAAGTTTAGTTGCCTCTTGGGGGAAAAAAAAGGCTCCTTTATGGCAATCTATGACCTGGAACACCGAGAATCTCCATAAACATATACCGCCACTTCAGACCAACAGCTACCCAATCTCTTCTTAAAATCCTCCAGTAAAATCCTCCACCCACAACCATCCCCAGATCAATTGTTCTCCCTGTCAGGAAATTTCTCCTTAATTCTAGGTTGGATCGCTCTTTAATCATTTTCCTCTCGTCCCTTCTTGGAGAACACATCACGAAACAGCCCCTCAAGTACCCTGTTTCTCCAACAATACGGCCTCCCCCAATAGGAAGCCCCAGCATGTTTTATAGGCATGAAATGAAATTAAGCCCCTCCCCCACAAATTAAGGCCTATATTAAAACATGCGAAATGGGGGGGACATGGCGGGGGGGGCTTGCCGTTAGGGAGTACTTTCGTTGCACACCCGGATATGGTGCTGCCTGCGTTGACCCCGATACGAAGTGCCCCACCAATGCCGAGGTCAACATCCAAGCCGTCACCGTCCGCCCAAAGATGCAAAGGGGGGTGAATTAAGTCACCCCCGAAAAGAGGGCCAAGCCATTTTTTTGGGGCTCAAAAAAAAAAAAAAAAAAGACCTAGCCTTATTATATGAGAAACACAGTAGTGGAAGGCTGCTACCGGTATTAATTGTTCCCCTGAATCTTCTTCCTACAACTCTTCATTGTACGGTTTAGCCTCCAGTCGCTTTATAAGCTTCGTGGCTCTTTCTCTTCCTCCTTTCTGGAGTCTCAGCACCTTTTCTGTATCATGGTGACCAGAACTGACCCACTCTTCCAAGTATGGCCTCCTTAGTGCAGCCTCAGAGCGATGCTCTGTCTCTTGATGCTCTCCCTCCGTTGATGCAGCCTAGGACTGTGTTGGCCCTTTGGGGGCTCGTAATTCACTGGCCATCTGCTAAGGAACCCCTGATCCCTTTCACAGTCACTACAGAGAATCCATGGGGAATGACATTTACCACCCTGAAATAAAAGGTTCTAAACCCAAGGTTTAAAATACCAAAAAAAAAATGGGTGCATCTATATCCTTTGGCATGTAAGACATGATTGACAGCCCATTTGAAACCCTGTCTTTTGTAGAACGCCTGCTGGTGAGAAAGAGGCCCCGTGGATCGAAACGGACAAGATCCGCGTCTGTGTGCGAAAACGGCCCCTGGGTTTGCGAGAAGAGAGGCGCGGAGAAGTGAACATCCTCACGGTGGAAGACCAGGAAACGCTTTTGCTCCACGAGAAGAAAGAGGCCGTTGACCTCACGCAGTACATCTTGCAGGTGTGGGGGGGGGTGGGTGGGCGGGAGAGTAAATGAGTACGTGAAAGAGAGAGGAGGAATGTGGAAGGGGAGAGAGTGGAGAGGGAAAGGGGCCGTGGGAGAGAGAAAGAGGGAGGGGGAGAGGAAAAGAGAGGGAGGGGAAGAATACGTATCTTTTCTTTTAGGTACACTGAGAGTATTTACATCAAGACAAATTCCTTGTGTGTCCAATCACACTTGGCCAATCAAGTAATCTATTCTATTCTAGAGGGGCAGGGAGAGAGGAAGGGGAGGGGAAAAGAAAGGGGAGGGGAAGAGAGGAAGGGAGGGGGAGATGGGGAAGAGGGGAGAGATAAAGTTTTCTTTACAATTCTTAGCATAGCTCAACTTTTGTTCAATTCAATGGACTGCGCTACTGCCTTTTTAAGACCATCTAAATTTCCCCCATATTTCTATATAGCTACACCCGCTACTTTCTTCCCTACACACCTCTACTTGAAATAGAATGAGACAGGTGATCCCCCCCCCCCCACACACACACACCTGTCTGCCTATGTGCTGTTGCTGCTGGTGCCGCTTCTCGGCGGGTTTAAGGTGGCTTTGCCCTGTCAGAACCGTCCCAACTCCTCATAACTTGGAACGAGACCAGGTCCCTGGATGATGTCCGCTGCCGTTATGCCCAGCTAAAGGGATCAAACTCTTTTTCTGGCTCTAAAGGTCCTTTCTGTTATTTGCAGCACGTGTTTTATTTCGACGAAGTCTTTGGGGAGTCCTGTTCCAATCAAGACGTGTACCTGAAGACGGCCCATCCTCTGATTCAACATGTATTGAATGGGTAGAATACTTTATATATTTGTTGAATATTTCCTCGTTCCCGTTGTTCAACGATCTCGGCCTTCAGAATCAGAATCAGCAGAGAGCTGGAAGGGACCTTGGAGGTCTTCTAGTCCAGCCCCCTGCTCAAGCAGGAGAACCTATACTGTTTCAGACAGGTGGCTGTCCAGTCTTTCCCCCCCCAGGGTTGGAGCATCCACAACTTCTGGAGGCAGGCTGTTCCTCTGGTTAATTGTCCTCACTGTTAAAAACGGGGGGTCCCCAAACTTGGCAACTTTAAGACATAGCTGGCTGAGGAATTCTTGAGAGTGGAAGCCCACAAGTCTGAAAGTTGCCAAGTTTAAGGTTAAGACGTTTCTCCTCCATTCCAGGTGGCTTCTCTCCTTGGTTAGTGTCCATCCGTTGTTTCCTGTCCTCCTTTCTGGTGCTTTGGAAAATGAATTGACTCCCTCTTCTTTGCGACATTTTTGAATTCGAAGGCGTTTTTCTTACGCCTCCCAAAACCCTTCCGTTCAAGCAGTCTTCAGTTTTCGAGTGATTTTGAGAACGGAAGTCTTCGTGTACGCAAGAGGATCCGTTTTGGGAAGACTGATCTAGCCCTTCAGACAATCAAAGGAGGTGATGTGGATGGAGCTTTCAAGACTCCATGGGCCTCCTTTAGTACGAAAGTTGTCTAGTCTCCTCTTTGCTGCCCCACACAGTGTGATATAATAAGCTTGTGCCCTATTTGGGGTACTACAACTCTTTAAAGCAGCTGCCTCTTTGGCTAAGAGGGCACAACTGCCGGCAGGTGTTTCCACTGGGCCCACTTGTCACACCCGCCTGCAGCTGTGCCCTCCCAGCAAAAGAGGCAGCTGGTTTTAAAGAGCTTTGGAGCTGGATATTACATTGGTGGCCCTGCAAAAACCCCTAAACTAGAAGCTTCACCACACTGAGAGCAAACAAACCACATTCTGGTTTTAGCCCAACCCAGCCTTTGAGAAGCATGGCTAGCTTGCCTTTTAACCTCGGACCCGAGAGAGAAGGATTATTTCTAATTTCGAATGAATTTAATGTATGAAGCTGGGGAAGCCATCGGCACCAATACTGTGAATTTAACCTTCCGATGAGACTGTGGGAGGCAAACCAGCTACTGCCCTCCACTTATGGCTCAGGAGTTGAGCCACGCTTGCTCCGTCGTGTAGTTTTGCTCTTGCCGTAAAGGCTAGAGCGCCTCTGGAGAGCATTAGTATCTCAACCTTCAAAAGAACGGGTGAGTTCATCGTCTCAGCCTGACACCTGTCAGTTCACTTTCCGAAGCTGCTCTCTCTTTATTTCCACTTCGCTTGAACACTATCTTGACTTTTCATTTGCAGACTGCAGGAGTTGAGATATTTGTGTGGGGGGGTGACAGGGCTCCGACAAATCCACCCCCATTCGAATCACAAGTCTCTAGCCGCATCTCTCAGAGTAAAAAAAAAAATGATTTATTAGGAGTTAACATGTCGGCGTATCCTGGGTGCAGCCGACACTAAGACACACCATTCATTTCCCCCTTGACCATGGTCTTCCCCCACCCCCTGGATGTACATTCTCCAATGGGACACATCCACAGCCAAGAGTCATCAATCATCCACTCCAGTAATAATCTTGCGCGCCAACAGCCTCGGCTGCTTAGCAATTATCTGAAGCATTTGAGGAATGCACTACTTTCTCCCCTCCCTTTCTGCTGGCAACTAAAAAGACCAAAGAAGTATTTTTTAGTTGACCTTGGCTTTGGGGGTGGTGGCGGGGTTTGCCCTTTTTCAGCTCTCGCCTCACCAATCCGGAGTCCATGAGTTCGATCCTAGGTAGAGGCAGGTATATTCTCTCTCTGGTCACACTGAGAATATATCTGCTGAACAAAACTCCACATTGGTGACAGGGAGGATATCCAGCCAGTAAACACTCAGCTCCGTTCAGTGGCCCAGACTCCACCCCGCAAGGGATTATGGGGTCATTAAAAGAAGATAGCGCTATTCAAACAAATATAGGGCATACCTAGACAGCATGGAACATACCGAAGTCTGTTAACAAAAGCTTTATTACGCTTATTTTTAACCTTTCCTTGGTTGCAGAGGCAATGCCACCTGCTTTGCGTACGGACAGACCGGGGCAGGGAAAACATACACCATGTTTGGTACTCATAAAACGCCCGGCCTCTATGCCTTGGCCGCTAAAGAGATCTTCAAGCAACTGGAAACAACTCAGGCTAGGAAAGATCTCCATGTCTGGATCAGCTTTTATGAGATCTACTGTGGGCAGCTTTATGATCTGCTAAACGGAAGAAAGAGGTATTTTGATCATGTGGTTACGGAGAAGCTGTAAAAGTCATAAGAATGAAAAATGGTCATGTCATTTTTTTTTTAGTACAGTTGAAACTTTAGTGGTCACTAAGTGAATGTAAGTTAAGGACTAGTTGTATCTTTTTATACTGGTATTGCTGCTGTCTGATTATTCCTTTGAGGCACATCAGAAAAATTTCCAAATAGCTGAAAGATTTTAATCTGCCTAGACCATATTTTATGGGAAATCATTGTAACCCTTAGTCCCAAAGGTGCTTTTTCAGGAGGCAACTGGATTTTCTGGTTTTTCACTTCTCATCCAAGAAGCTTCACCCGTTCTGAGAGAAGGGACATTCTTCATTCAGAACTCAAGAAGCTTCTTGGATCAGAAGCGAAACGTCTTCAAAAAAACCCCAGAAAGTCCAGTTGCCTCTTGAAAAAGCACTTTTGGGACAACCAGGACCTGGATGGCTGACGTTCTCCATATATATTGTAACCAATACTTTTTCAAAGTTTATTTTTAAAGCCATTTATCGCACTTCTTTCCAAGTTTCTTTACTAATCTCTGAGGGTTTCTCCGCAGGCTGTTTGCAAGGGAAGATAGTAAACATGTTGTACAAATAGTTGGGCTGCGCGAAGTCCATGTGAACACAGTCAACTTGCTCCTGGAGGTAATTTTCGACCCTGTAGAATTCAATTTATCCTCTTGTGTTTATAGTAATGGGAAACTTTTGTCTTCAGCCTCTTATTTTCAGGGAAACACGGGCATCATCAACAGTGCTAGAAGAGAGGGGAATTTGCTCTCTACTTATATACAAGTGACTTGCCCTGTCAGTACTGGTAGGAAGGTTCTTGGTGGTTCCTTGATAAGGCTGTTTTTTATTGCTTGATTGTTGGTCTAGTATTAAGATGAGAGAGGGGGGGAGGAGATGAAGAGGAAGGGCAAGAAAGAGAAACCAACCAATAGAATGAGCCTCTGTGGCACAGTGGTTAGAGTGCAGGACATCCAAGCTGCTTCTGCAGCCAGCTGCCTATAATTTGGCAGTTCAAATCCCACCAGGCTCCAGATTGACTCAGCCTTCCGTCCTTCCGAGGTGGGTCAAATGAGGACCCAGATTGTTGGGGGCAAGAGGCAGACTCTGTAAACTGCTTAGAGAGGGCTGTAAAAGCACTATAAAGCGGTATATGTCTAAGTGCTAGTGCTAGAAAGAGAACGCTTGTAGCGCAGGGTTGGCATGAGGGGTCCTTGGTGCTCTCTCTCAAACAACTTTGGTTGTTTTCTTGCAGACGTTACACTACCAAATTAGGTAACTTCATCAGTGCTAAAAGGGAAGAGTTTGCCCTCTGTTTGGCTTTCCCACACTGACAGGGCGAGCCACTTCTGTATAAACCAAGAGCAAATCCCATTCCTTCTTGCACTTTTATCTATTTTTACGACGGCTACAATCATGGTTTATCCCTTATAGCTTTTGTGCACACTGAAAGCTGCTGCACCCAAGACGAATTCCTTGCGTGTCCAATCGCACTTGGCCAATAAAGAATTCCGTTCCATTTTACCTAAGCGGGTCATGAAACGTCTGCAAGGAAACAGCCAAGTTCAGAAAAACATGATGGACCCCGCAATGCTGTTACTGTGCAATTTCCCCGCCCTCCTATTTACCTGCTTTCGACCCCTTCCTCCCCCCAGGTTATTCTGAAAGGAGGGAAGGAGCGCAGCACAGGAGCGACTGGCGTCAACTCTGATTCTTCCCGGTCCCATGCCGTCATCCAGATTCAAATGAAAGACCCCACACACCGAGTCTTTGGGAGGTGAGCACAGAAGAAGGAGAAATAGCAGGCTTTCCTTGAACCCGCTGCTGTCTTAAAAGGTGTAAGGTGGCTGGGCATCCTTAGCAGTTCCTTCAGCACAGGTAGGTAGTTTGAATACCTCAGCATCAGCTCAGCTCAGCTCAACTCAGGATAAAATAGAAAATAGGAATAGAACAGAACAGAACAGAATTCTTTATTGGCCAAGTGGGATTGGACACACAAGGAATTTGTCTTTGGTGCAAATATTCTCAGTGTACCTAAAAGAAAAGATACATTCATCAAGAGTCAAGAATCATCAGGTACAACACTTAATGATAGGGTACAATAGGGTACAATAAGCAATCAAATCAGATAGAGATAGATAGATAGATAGATAGATAGATAGATAGATAGATAGATAGATAGATAGGAAGGAAGGAAGAAAGAAAAGAAAGAAAGAAAGAAAGAAAGAAAGAAAGAAAGAAAGAAAGAAAGTTAGTTAGTTCTTTATTGGCCAAGTGTGATTGGACACACAAGGAATTTGTCTTTGGTGCAAATGCTCTCAGTGTACATAAAAGAAAAGATACATTCATCAAGAGTCAAGAATCATCAGGCACAACACTTAATGATAGTCATAGGGTACAATAAGCAATCAAATTGTACTAGGAAACAGTCAATATAAATTGTAAGGATACAAGCGACAAAGTTGCAGTCATACAGACACAAGTGGGAGGGGATGGGTGATAAGGAGTGATGAGATTAATAGTAATAGTAGTGCAGACTTTGTAATAGTTGAACAGTGTTGAGGGAATTATTTGTTTAGCAGAGTGATGGCGTTCGGGGAAAAAACTGTCCTTGTGTCTAGTTCTGGTGTGCAGTGCTCTATATAGTATCTTTTTGAGGGTAGGAGTTGAAACAGTTTATGACCAGGATGTGAGGGGTCCGTAAATATTTTCACAGCCCTCTTTTTGACTCGTGCAGGATACGGGTCCTCCAAGGAAGGCAGGTTGGTAGTAATTGTTTTTTCTGCAGTCCTAATTACTCTCTGAAGTCTGTGTCTGTCCTGTTGGGTTGCAGAACCAGACCAGACAGTTTAAGAGGTGCGGATGACAGACTCAATCGTTCCTCTGCAGAACTGGATCAGCAGCTCCTTGGGCAGTTTGAGCTTTCTGAATTGGGGCAGAAAGAACATTCTTTGTCGTTTACTGGGCAGGAGCTTTTGAAACGAATCACACCATTTGTTTCTACATCATTTATTTTTATTTACTTAGAAAATTGATATTGCTGCCTATTTGCAGGTGGCGACTCAAGGCGGCATACATGAATCCAAAAACATCATGTATAAAAAATAAAACTAATAGAAGAAAATAATCAAATAATTAATTAATGAAACAATATAATAGCCCTCCATCCCGGTGACAACACATCGTGCGAAGCCATTTAATGGGCTCCATCCCGCTCTGGGTTCCCCAGGCCCACTGGCAGAACCAGGCCTTCAGCGCCTTCTGTAATTGGGGGCCAGTCTAATCTTTGGGGAAATGATGTTCCAGAGAGAGGGAGCCACCACGGAGAAGGCCCTTCTCCTGGGTCCCACCAGGTGTATCTTCTCAGGGGATGGGACCCATCCCTTGTGACCGGCAAGAGATGGTCCCTCAGATAACCTGGTGGATAATCATGATAGATCATTAGAAGACCGCCCAAACATTTGGGTAGCAGGCCATTTTCCCCATTTAATTTCCTGTTTTCTTTCCTGAGCTGGAAGTATTCACTGGGCCTTTTACTGTCTTGATTGGTTATTGTTATTTTCCTTGAACTATTGAATCCCAAGAGTGGTGTGATTTTTTTTGAAGTTGATCTGAGACGTACTTCAATATCCTTCAGCAAATCACAGCTTAGGAATAAAGTGCAGAAAGTACAACTTCATTGGGCAGATGAACACGATATCGCGAACCTTGTCTTTCAGAATCTCGTTTATTGACCTGGCTGGCAGCGAGAGGGCAGCGGATGCCAAAGACTCTGACCGGCAGACGAAAATGGAAGGAGCAGAGATCAATCAGAGTCTTCTAGCGGTAAGTCAACCCAGGTTCCTCGGAAGGCTGCACTTCATGGCTCAAGCATTTGCTTAGTCAGGGTTGGGCGGGAGGATTTGGCCATGATCCTCGATGCCCTCCGGTAAAAGTAACCCCCCGGTTGGATGCGCCTCAGGGTCGTCCAGCTTTCATGAACCTCGTGACCATCTGGCTTGGACCGATTCCTCCTCAAGCTACACCTCCTCCAGCCAGTCTGCTTCACCTTGAACCCAGTGTGGCCAAGGAGGGGCTGCTTTCAGGGTTCCGGGCTCTTCCTGGTCGCTCCTGTGGGTTGACATTGAGCCTCAGCCCCCATGGTAGACCGGGTCGGCTGATGAAGCAGATCTTGCCTAATTGTTCTGACCCAAACCTTGTTCCAAGGAAACAAACGTGAAACGGAGGTAATAGAAAAAGCTTTTAATGATTCTTTACGAATTCAGTTCCTTCGCAGTTAAAGGGCTGTTTCAAACTAATTGTCTCTGCTAAGAACGAGCCTTGCCAAGGTGGTGCGAGGCTGCCAAGAACACCAGATAAAGTTGCCAAGAAATAATTCAAACACAAAGAGTCTCCAAACACAAATGAAAAGAGTCCGAATGTCTACAAGGCTCGAGTGCAAAAACTTCTTTGCTTCCTGCAAAGGACTCCGGTTCCTCAGCTGGCTTTTATCTTCTCAGGGAGGGGCAACTACCTTGCAGCCTTACTCCCGAGTCGCCCGTGCTGCTGCAGCTGCTCTTTCCTACGCGTGCTGAGCACAGGCTCCTCGGGGGCCTCTTCCTCACTGCTGCCAGCCTCCACCATCTCCAAAGGCAGCACTCCACTCCCTGATGGTCCTGGCCCCATCCCTGCCTCACACGCAGGCCCCTCATCCGAGTCCTCGCTCTCCGAGACCTCAGCCGTCCTCACCTGCTTCCGGCAAACCACAACACTAATGTCAGGACTGCCTCCATTCAAAACCTAAGAAAGAAAACCGCCAACTCCATTTGTTTAGAGAAGAAGTGCTTTTACTATGGTTGAATTGATAGCAGGAAGCGCAAGGCAAGATCTGAACCAAAGCACCCGAATGTTACAATATTGAAAGTCACCCCAAATCCCTCTCCCCCCCGCAAGGACCCAGCACTGAGCATCCAATCAACATCCAGTAAGATGTTATGGGAAAGCTCCTCTACAGGTATTTCTCGCATCTGCCGTCCCAGGACAGCTGGCCTTGAATAGGTATGAACAACTCCACTCAGCAGTGCCATAATTCATGAGTGCAAAACTGCCTTCCAATTCTCATGAGACTACTTACACACCAGCTTGCTTCCCCCAAGCCAAATGCCATGCCCTCCTCCCCATTTCTACAGCAGCTGAGAGCAAGCAAGCTTCAAAAAACCAGATCTGTCTTCTGACAGGCGTATCCCTGGGTTAGGATGGGAAAGGGCCCTGTCTGGAAAAACAGCTGCTACTGGAAAGATCTATCCAGCCTAGCAGAGTATAAATTTCATCCCTCTGGCTCTGGGGATACGAGACCAAGATCTCCAGCCTGTTGAGCTAAACTGATCAGCTGGTGGTCTGACTTCAGAAAGGAAGCGCTTCCTATGTTCATACAAGCAGGAATGGGTAAATAGAATCTTTTTTTAAAAAAAAACAGTGCAATAATATTTTGATAAAAAGGATAAAAAGGAAAAAAATATCAGGAGAAGGAAGGAACTAGTTCAAATGAAAACAGAACAAAACAGTAAGAGGTAACTTACAGAGAATGATTATTTACCCACCACACCCACCCAAAAAAACTGAACACCAGAAATTTTGGGAAAGGAAAGCAGAGATCTGTCCCGCTGATCAGAAGTACACATAGCTTAGTAAGAGTAATAGATAGCAAGGGTGTTACTCTAACTCCTTGTGTGGGGTCCTTGGTGCTCTCTGAACTTGATAGTTTTCTTGCAGATGTTTCATTACCCAACTAGGCAACATCATCAGTGCTAGGAAGAAGGACTAGTTCTCTGTTTATATACAAGTAGCGTGTAATCAAGAAACCACCCAGAATGCTCCCACCATCACTGACAGAACTAGCTCTAACCAAAGGCAGAGTCCACCCAGGGCCCCACAGTCCTTCCCCTCCTCCTCCTCCTTCCTCTTCACAAACCCCCATTCCCTTCTACACTGATTATGTTACCTAGTTGGGTCATGAAATGTCTGCCAGGAAACCACTAACCTCAGAGAGCACCAAGGACTCCACAGTCCTCCTCCTCCTCTCCACAAACCCCACTCCCTTCTAGCTGATGAGGTCACCTAGTTGGGTCAGAAAACATCTTCAAGAAAATACCAAGCTCAGAGAGCACTAAGGACCCAAGAGTCATCGACCTCCTCCTCCTCCTCCTCCTCCTCCTCCTCCTCCTCTTCCTCCTCCTCTTCCTCCTCCTCTTCTCCACAAACCCTACTCCCTTCTAGCACTGAGATTGTCACCTACTTGTATCATGAAACGTCTTCCAGAAAAACCACCCATCTCAGAGAGCACCAGGGAGCCCACAGTTGAACCCTGAGCGACAGAGCTTCTCTTCCCTCTAACCGCTTGACGTAGGAAGGAAATACCTTGACGGAGCTCTTGCAGAACGTTGGAGG